CGAGGCTCGAGGGGCTCGGGGGCTCGTACCCGGCCACACACCGTGTGCTGAGCTGGGACTCGACCTGCGGACTCAGGGCTGCTGCTCGCTAGAGAAATTAACACAGGACGTCAGGGCTGAGAGGCGCCCCACCTGCAGGGTGGAGGACGGGGCCTCACTGCAGCTCCCTGCCATCAGCTGCGGCTCAGAGCCCGGCCCTCCATCAGCTTCCTTCACTCAGGATCTGAGCTTCCTCAGCTTGGGGCATCGGCAGCCCTGGTGATGTTCTCTCTCCTCTGAATTTCAGCCTTCAGGAGGTAGCCGGCTTTCCGGTCTCCGTGCTTTGGATTCCCATCTGCTCACGGACCCCGCAGGGCATCAGACTGGGCCGGGTCGTGTTTACGTCGCTGTGAGCGAGAGATGTCAGCATGATTGTTCTGATGCCTCATGGGTTTGCCCACAGCTCTGCCGTGAGACCCTCTATCCCTGGACATATATTGATCTTGTCTGCACTCCTGGTGGAGTCTGAATTACGTTCGTGACACCCGGAGTTCTGTCAACAGTAAGCAAGCCGGGAAGGGCAGGTCTCTCTGTCCTGCTCGGAGGCCGGTTGGGCTCAGAAGGTCATTGCTGTTCTTCAGTCCAAGGTCCCAGCGGGTCCACTCACGGGAGGCGCGTCCCTGCAGAGAAGCTCTCGCAAGGGCCTGCCGGCCGGGCTGGCGTGGCCTCTGGGGAGGGTCACCACGTGGTCATCCTCCCTGAAGGCAGGGACGCCCTCGCGGCCCCTCTCCGTGGCTGCCCCAGCTTGACCAGTGACGGTGTGAGGGAAGGAATCGTGACCAGGTATGAACGTCCAGATGCACGGCGTCAGGGCCAGCTCTCGGAAGCGACCACCTGGTAACTGCTGCCTTTCTGTGTTAACGTTTGTCATCTCCCCCGCGAGCCTCAGCTGCAGGCTGACCTACAGCTCGTGGTTTGGCCTCGTCCGATTCTGTCAGTCCCACTGCTCCCCGTGAGTTCACGTGTCTTGAGTGAGTGAATGGGATATTCAGTGAGTGTATAAGCACGGGCCCCACGACCGCTGGGCCTGAAGATACAGAGATGAATAAGGTGGTCCCTGTCTCCCGGGGCTTCACGGTCTAGTGAGGAAGACAGATCAGCAAATCCAAGAAGAAGGTACAAGTGTGTGTTGAGGTTCTCCCGGAAGCCAGCTCTGCCGCGAGGTTTTGAGAACAAGAATTCTTCTGGGAACGGGGCTCAGCCCTGCCGGGGAAACGTGGCATGACGTGACATCCGTGACAGCAGCTGTGGGCCAGTCCAGGCAGGCACAGGGGCACAGAGCCAGAGGTTCAGGGCACGTGGACCGGTCACAGACCGTGTCGGCCCCAGGTTGGAGATCCCAGGATGGAGACATCAGGAAGACAGAGGGGTGCCGCTTGAGCTGGATTTGGGGACAGACCAGACAGCAAGGCAACCAAAGACCCGAGGCCGGACAGATGGCCAGAGGGGTGGCGGTTAAGGTCCGAGGTAGGCCAGCCAGGGCTCCTCGTCCGCTGGGAGGGCTCGGCCTTTCTCCGCCAGACGGGCCGTCGGGGACCAGGACAGGATCCCCTGGAACAGGATCCCTGCAGGCAGCGGACGGCGGGGTAGGGTGGAAGCGGGGAGGCCAGCGAGTGGCGAGGGGGGTGGTGACCGGACTGGCCAGAGAGGTCGAGGAGGCCTGAGGAGAGGGCGGATTCTGGACGAGTCTGGAGGCAGATCTGGCATGACAGGGTCGCTGTTGAGTGAGACGTCAGTCACATAAAGACGCGGTAAATAAATACTCGCCAGCTGCCCTGGGAGCTGTTAGGAGGTTAGGAGGAGACCAGGGCGCCACGGGAGGGAAGAGCAGGACCACGTGACAGGTGAGCTGGACCCTGGGGAGGGGCACGGGCCAGGGTGGAGCCGCACGCAGGCAGCCTGGGGGGGCGGGTGAGAAGTTGGGGGCCGGGCCAGTGCCCACGCCCCTCCTGGGGTCCTCTGCCCTCGGGCCCCCAGGCCTCACTGCCTCCCCCAGAGACGCGGCTCCCGAGGGGCCCACCGGGGCCTCCTCCAGCCCCAGGTCAGGCCCGCCCAGAATAATGAGATTCTGAGCTCGTGGGATTTCCTGCCGTTCGGAGAGCTGCTTTGAAAGCCCAGAGCTGCGGTGGCCGCAGGGCCTGGGCGGGGGGCAGCCTGGGCGGCGGGCTGAGGCCGAGGGGTCTGTGGGGCGAACTGCACTCAGGGGCCGGGCCGCTGCCCGAGGGCCCCAGGCCGCTTCTTCCTCCGGCCGCCTGGGGCTGGGGGCCGACCGTGGCCGCGGGCTCGTGGCCCGCCTGGGAGTCAGGGTCACTCGTGGCCAGTCGTCCCTCCCAGACCCTGCACGCTGATTTCAGAGCAGCATCCGGCTTCAGAGGTCCCCGAGCACCTGACTGCGGGGGTATCCTGTCCCCGGAATGAGACCAAGGCCGCGGCCCTGGTACAGGCGGCGGATGCGGGCTTAAGAGCCCCGCGTCAGGTCGGAGGCCTCGCTGCATCAGCCCGTGTCCCCTCTTGCACTGGAGTTGAAGCGCCAGAGGAGGGAGGGGCAGGGACGGTTGGGCAGGGCCACCGGGGGCACCTGCTCAGGGCCTCAGCTGCGCTCGGCGGCAGCAGGCATGTTCCTGCTGCCCCTCAGCTGTTACAGCACCTCGAAGCGTGAGGCCACTGCACTGGGGCCTTTTCAGACGTCATCATGAAGTTCCCGATGAAATTAAAGTCTCTGTACCGCTCTCTGATCCCTCTTTTCTTTGTAGCCATCGGAAGAACGGAATAGAGGAGCGCAGTCGGTATTCCCATCTTGAACTTCCTGATTATCTAAATTTAGGCACGAACCAGAAGGCTTATCAGGTTGGAATCATTCTTGGGCCGATGTTTGGAGGACAGGGCTGGTCCTGCAGTTGAAGGGGGGGGGTGGTGAATGTAGCCCACGTGGTTATTTATGTCCTGGCTTCTCACAAGTCTGTCTGAAAATTCCTTCCACCCTTTGCCAGCGGGGAGGCCTGCTGAGGTCTCCTTCAGGTTTTGTTTCTGTGGAGCATCTGTGTTTCCAGTGGCCCCAGGTTCACACGTCTTTCCCGCCACCTCGCACATGCGCTGTCACTAGCGCCCTAGTACAACTGCCTTAAATACTTCCAGCCTTGAAGCAAAAGAGTTGGGCCATCCTTCCCCCATGTTTTAGCGCCTCTGCTTAGATGGGTTCACTCAGTTCATCCGAGCTGGCACTCGAGCCCCAGGGTTTGATCTCTCTACGAATGGGTTATGTTGATCAGAGAAAAGCGTCACCTAACAGCCCAGCATGTGACGAACACGATCGGGCTTCATTTCTTTCTTCCCTCTACCATAATGCTGAGTGCACAGCTCGTGCCGAGTGCGGGACCGGGCCTGGGGCTGCGGAGGCGGCTGACGGGCTCCTTCTGCAAACGCAGACCTCCCCAGCAGAGCCGGCTGCAAGCAGCTCACTCAGTAGCTGTGGATGAGGGGCTCTTGCGCATGGGGAGAGTGGGTGATTCCTCGAGAGCCTCCTCTGCCGCTAAAGAAGTAATCCACGTTTCCCCCCCAGGGGCTGGGGCCGCTCTGGTCGTACACGAAAGCTCTCGAGAGCCTTCTCCACCTCCTGCCATCTCCCTGGGAGCCAGAGCTGCCCTTGCCCAGATCTGCTGGACCCCCTCATTAAGAACAGGGCCAGAGCCAGAGTCTTTGCCGTTTGGCTCAGGGCTGCCTTTCCAGCTGCTGACCGGCAACCGGCGCCTCCCGGCAGGTGGATTTCAGCCCGTGGGGAAGCCCGCACCTGCTCCAGCGCCTCCACGGGCTCCCCCACCGGTCCAGACACCCCGTGTGATCCCCTTGCCTTGCCTTCTCTGCACCTTTCACCTCTGACCTGAGACCCTAACCCCCCGTGAGAGTAACGAGGGGTGATCTTTACACAGCATGAGTCTAGTGGGTGAGAACTCCTTTGGGTAACTCACAGGTCACGACCCAGGATTCTTCAGGTGCAAAGAGCACTGTGGGCTTCGTGGGAAACCAGATGCTCTTACACGTCACCATTCCTCATGAGTCCAGCTCTTTACCTAAAACAACAACAAAAAAAACAACCCTCTGTTCTTCTTACTGTGCCTTTTAAAGTAGCAATAAATCATCCCCACAGCCTGTCATTTAAGCGGTTTTTCTCCAGAGGACACACTCTCCCTTCTTGCGTGGGTTTCTGCAGATTAATCTTAAATTGGAAAATCTGCAAATAAGGGAAGCATCGGTACACAGTTTCTTTCTTTTATTACATTAACTGTCACAAAGCCCCGTTTTCCCCAAGAAGTTAACCTTTCCATCCCTGGGTGAGAATTAACCCTCCCTTTGCCAGAGTCCTGTGACTTGGTTCTCAGTTAAAGACATAAAGAGTCGGGCTTCCCTGGTGGCGCAGTGGTTTAAGAATCCGCCTACCAGTGCAGGGGACACAGGTTCGAGCCCTGGACCGGGAAGATCCCACATGCTGCGGAACAACTAAGCCCGTGGGCCACAACTACTGAGCCTGCGCTCTAGAGCCCGCGAGCCACAACTATTGAGCCTGCGCGCCTAGAGCCCGTGCTCCACAACAAGAGAAACCACCGCAATGAGAAGCCTGCGCACCTCAGTGAAGGGTAGCCCCTGCTTGCCACAACTAGAGAAAGCCCGCGCGCAGCAACAACCCAAATGCAGCCCAAAAATTAATTAATTAATTAATTAAAAAAAAAAAAAAAGACATAGAGAGTCGTCTTGTGATGAGTACGGGCAACTCTTTGCTCCTTTGAAAATGTTGCCCTTAGGGTGAGTATAGCCACGGAGGTAGGAAGAGATGCTTCATCACCCTGGTTCCCTCTCTCACCCCATCCCATCCCCACCCAGTATCCAGCTCAGCCACAGAGAGTTTTCTGTCACTTTTTTCCCTGGGAGAACGACTGAGGGTTTTCACGTGTGTGCTTGTTGTTTAGAAAGCCAAGCTCGGCCCTGCTGGCAACAAAGTCATTAGTCCTGAGGACAGGAGGCAGCCTTCCAACAACCTCGACAGAGTGAAACTCACTGACTTCAACTTCCTCATGGTGCTGGGCAAGGGCAGCTTCGGGAAGGTAAGAGAGCCGGGTGCACGGCGGGGCGGGCTTTGGCAGAGAACGTTGGGGTCAGTCCTGTTCTGCCCGAGGATTCCAGAGCAGCCCTTTCGATTCCCTGTGCTCTGCACACATTTCTCAGTGGTTTCCCACTTTCATTTCGTTAAGAACAACTGTATCCAGAGAGCCGCACAAGGTTCCCGGTGTGTCTCCGTTTCTGGGTGCGTGACTGAGTGGGTTCTCCAGAATGTTGGACGAGTAGTTTTCACAACTAAAAATTAAATGTTGACTCGTGGTAAGCAAACGTAATCATTAACAGATGCTGAACTGGGTTTCTTCAGTGGTCGGCCTGTGTACCTACGTTTGTTTCTCTGGCCCCATATCTCGTGGTAGATCCAGGCACTGATTTTGATCCTGACCCCTTTTTCCTGGACTTGGCTCCTGACTTGTGAGAAGTGTACAAAGGTCAGTCACATTTCTGCTCTGAGGATGCTCCTGTAATGCGTGCCTGACGCAAGAGTCCTGCAGAGAATGTCGAGTATCCCTTTCAGCGGCTGCAGTGGTGCCCTCGTGTGGCAACAGCCCACACGGAGTATAAACCCCGGCAGCGTAGAAACTAGGCAGCCTGAGGAATTTCCTGTGCGGCGACGTGCAGTATTTCAAAACTGGCACACGGGGTGGAACTTTATTAACATCGACGAGTCCGCACACACGGCCTGAGCGGCTCCCCGCCCCCATGCCGGCCGTGTGCCGGGAGCGTTCAGGCTGCCCTCGGTCTGCCCGCAGGTGATGCTGGCGGACAGGAAGGGGACGGAGGAGCTGTACGCCGTCAAGATACTGAAAAAGGACGTGGTGATCCAGGACGACGACGTGGAGTGCACCCTGGTGGAGAAGCGGGTGCTGGCCCTTCCGGACAAGCCCCCGTTCCTGACGCAGCTGCATTC